TCAAGTTCCAAGTGATCAATTGTGGTGGGGACTCTCTAGTCAGAGGCAGAGACAGACATTTCTGCAGCCGACAACGAGACATCAGAACGGTGTGTTGCCTCCCTGGTGCCAGGATCAAGGATATCTCAGAGAGGGTGCAGAATAATCTCAAAGGGGAGAGAATCCAGCAGGAGGTCGTTGTACACATGGGAACTAACAAAGTAAAAAGAGAAAAGGACAAGATTCTGAGGAGAGAATATAGGAAGTTAGGCAGGAATTTAACAAGTAGGTCGTCTAGGGTAGTAATATCTGGATTGCTTCTGGTGCCACGAGCTGGTGAGGGTAGGAATAGAAGGATAGAACAAATGATTGTGTGACTGATGAGCTGGTACAGGGGAGAAGGATTCACATTTTTGGATCATTGGGATCTCTTCTGGGGTAGAAATGACCTGTATAAGAAGGACAGATTGCACCTGAATTGGCAGGGGACTAATATACTGGCGGGGAGATTTGCTAGAGCTGCAAGGATTTAAACTAGCAGCGGCAGGTGAGCGGTGCGTGGTGGGACCCAGGGAGACAGTGACAAAACAGACCAGTCTGACAATGGTCTAGTTGGGAAAAGGAGCAAGTCAAAGAGTCAGGGCAGGCAGGAACAAAGCAGAGAACGAGGTAGGACTGATAAATTAAACTGCATTTATTTCAATGCAAGAGGCCTAACAGGAAAGGCAGATGAACTCAGGGCATGGTTGGAAACATGGGACTGGGATATCATAGCAATTGCAGAGACATGACTCAGGGATGAATAAGATTGGCAGCTTAATATTCCAGGGTATAGATGCTATAGGAAGGATAGAAAGGGGGGGCAGGAGAGGAGGGGGGAGTGGCGTTTTTAATTATGGATAACATTACGGCTGTACTTAGGGAGGAGATTCCTGGGATTCTGTCCTGGGAAGTAATTTGGGTGGAACTGAGGAATAACAAAGGGAATGATCACCTAATTGGGATTGTACCATAGACCCCAGAATAATCAGTGGGAAATTGAGAAGCAAATTTGTAAGGACATCTCAGTTACCTGTAAGAATAATAGGGTTGTAATGGCAGGGGATTTTAACTTTACAAACATAGACTGGGATGTCATAGTGTTAAGGGCTTGGATGGAGAGGAATTTGTTAAGTGTGAACAAGAAAACTTTATGATTCAGAATATGGATGCACCTACTAGAGATGGTGCAAAACTTGTATGACTCTTGAGAAATGAGGCAGGACAGTTGACTGAGGTGTCAGTAGGGGAGTATTTTGGGGCCAGTGACCATAATTCTATTAGTTTTAAAATAGTGATGGAAAATGATAGACCAGATCTCAAAGTTAAAGTTCTAAATTGAAGGAAGGCCAATTTTGACAGTATTAGTAGGCAACAACTTTCAAAAGTTGATTGGGGTGGGAGGGGGTGGGTATATTCGTGAGTAAAGGGACAGCTGGAAAATGGGAAGCCTTCAAAAATGAGATAATGAAAGTCCAGAGACAGTATGTTCCTGTTAGGGTGAAGGGCAAGGCTGGTAGGTTTCGGGAATGCTGGATGACAAGGGAAATTGAGGTTTTGGTCAAGAAAAAGAGAGAAGCATATGTCAGGTACAGACAGCAGAGATCGAGTGAATCCCTAGAAGAATGTAAAGGTAGTAGAAATAAAGTTGAGTGAAATCAGGGAGGGCAAAAAAGGGACATGAGATAGCTTTGACAAATAGGGTTAAGGAGAATCCAGTGGGATTCTACAAACATATGAAGGACAAAAGAGTAACCAAGGGCAGAATAGGGCTCCTTAAAGATCAGCAAGGGTGCCTATGTGTGTTTACTGTGGAGAAGGATATGGAAGATAGAGAACACAGAAATAAATAGCAACAGAGGAGGTGTTGCTGGACATCTTAAAACACAAAGGTGGACATTACCAGGACCTGACTGGGTATACCCTAGAACTCTGTGGGAGACCAAGGAAGTGATTGCTGGGCCCTTTGCTGAGATATTTGTATCAGCACTAAACACAGGTGAGGTGCCGGAAGACTGGAGGTTGGCTAACATTGTGCCACTATTTAGAAAGGTGGTAAGGAAAAGCCAGGGAACTATAGACCAGTGAGCCTGACATTGGTGCTGGGCAAGTTAATGGAGGGAATCCTCAGGCACAGGATTTATATGTATTTGGAAAGGCAGGGACTGATTAGGGATAGTCAACATGGCTTTGTGCTTGGGAAATCATGTCTCATTAACTTGATTGAGTTTTTTGAAGAAACAAAGAGGATTGATGAGGGCAGAGCGGTGAACGTGATCTATATGGATTTAAGCAAGGCTTTCAACAAGGTTCCTCATGGTAGACTGGTTAGATCACAAGGAATAAAGGGAGAACTAGCTATGTGGTTACAGAACTGGCTGGAATGCAGAAGACAGAAGGTGGCGGTGGAGGGTTGCTTTTCAGACTGTAGGCCTGTGACCAACAGTGTGCCACAAGGATCAGTGCTGGATCCACTGCTTTTTGTCATTAATATAAATGATTTGGATGTAAACATAGGAGGTATGGTTAGTAAGTTTGCTGATGACCCCTAAATTGGAGGTGTGGTGGTCAGTGAAGAAAGTTACCTCCGAGTACAATGGGCCAATGGGCTGAGGAGTGGCAGATGGAGTTTAATTTAGATGAACATGAGGTGCTGCATTTTGGAAAGGCAAATCAGGGAAGGACTTAAACATTTAATGGTAAGGTCGGAAGTGTTGCAGAACAAAGAGACCTTGGAGTGCAGGTTCATAATTCCTTGAAAGTGGAGTCCCAGTTATCCAGGATAGTGAAGAAGGCATTTGGTATGCTTGCCTTTATTGGTCAGTGTGTTAAGTATAGGAGTTGGGAGGTCATGTTGTGGATGTATAGAACATTGGTTAGGCCACTTTTGGAATCTTGCATGCAATTCTGGTCTCCCTGCTATAGGAAAGATGTTGTTAAACTTGAAAGGGCTCAGAAAAGATTTATTGCCAAAGTGGGAGGGTTTGACCTATAGGGAGAGGCTGAATAGGCTGGGGCTATTTTCCCTGGAACGCTGGAGGCTGAGGGGTGACCTTATAGAGGTTTATAAAATCATGAGGGGCATGGATAGGGTGAATAGCCAAGGTCTTTTCCCCAGGGTAGGGAAGTCCAAAACTAGGGGGCATAGGATTAAGGTGAGAGGGGAAAGATTTAAAAGGGACCTAAGCGGGTAACTTTTTCATGCAGAATGTGATGCTTGTATGGAATGAGCTGCCAGAGGAAGTGGTGGAGGCTGGTACAATTACAACATTTAAAAGGCGTCTGGATCCGTACATGAACAGGAAGGGTTTAGAGGGATATGGGCCGAATGCTGGCAAATGGGACTCTACTAATTTAGGATATCTGGTCAGCATGGACAAGTTTGACTGAAGGGTCTTGTTTCCTATGATGCTGCTTGGCCTGCTGTGTTCATCCAGCTCTACACCTTGTTATCTCAGATTCTCCAGCATCTGCAGTTCCTACTATCTCTGTTTCCATACTGTACAGTTCTATGACTCTGACTGTAAGTCACAAATATGAGATAACATGCCATTATTAATTCAATTAATAAATTCTGAAATTAAAGGCTAATCTCTATAACGACGACAGTGAAATTATCATTGATTGTCTTCGGAATCTGTCTGTTTCACAAATGTTCTTTTGGGAAGGAAATCTGCTCTTACGTGTTCTGGCCTCTGATGCTGCAAGCCTAAACCAATGTGGTTGATTCTCAACAGCTCCCAAGGGCAATTAGGGACAGGCAGCAAGTGCTAATCTCACCAGTGACATCCCACAAAATAATTTTTGCAGAAATGTAGTCTGTCTGTGTAAATTAGAAATTAACATCATAGTTTTAAGATTCATTGTTTCCTTGTACAGTGAAATACTATCTTCCAAACCAACTAAAGGAGCTGGTCTCGTAAACAACATATTTTAAAACCACATTACGCACTTAATAACATATCACATTTGTGCAGTTAGATGAGGATGCTTTTCTAAAATACAGCTGAATTGTTGATCATATTGCCATGTTACTGGACAATGTATATTTTTGAACTGCAAGTGCCAGCAGTAGTTGGCATTTTTGATGAGATCTGGTCAGAAGATAACTCTGAATGTGAGCTGAGGGCACAGATTTTTCTTATCAGAATAGGCCTTCACCAAAACCTATATCAATGCTTTTTCTGTCTGTTTGATTTGAGAAAAATTGGCAGCAAGCAAAGAGATCGTTTTAACTCCCAAGGCAGGTGTTGACTATAAATGTAAATGAATAAACCCCAATTTCACGGTAATGGAGAGCAGGGCAGTCAACAGACCTGTCAGGAGGCAGGCTGGTTACTTTAATACTTTAAGAAGGCTGTGTAGCTCCGGTTTAACTGGACATTTCAATACCTGTGAGTCAGGTTTTCTGAACGTTGAGAGAAATTTGTCAGCTGAAGAAAGGTGTGCCAGGCTGGATTCGTCAGGTCAGTGCTTTCTCATGCTTCTTGTGGACCAGTAAGAGCAGGAGCCTCTCACTCAGAGAGGAGTGTCTCACTGTTGTGCCAGCCAACAAATTTACCATATGCACAGGAGGCGGCAGCTCCCTCTCCTGTCATTGTTTTGGATTCAGCTCTGCTCCTCTCCCCAGGCACCTGCCTTCCCTGTCCCCATCTATCTGCACCACCCTTTCAGATGAGCTGCAGCTGGGAAACTGTTGTTAAAAATTTCAAAATAACTCCTGCGTCAAATTGGGCAGTATATGCAGAAAACAGGTTTGTTATTCTTTGCAGCCTCAAGTTCCCATCCATCCCCAATATCGTCTGGGTCAGGTGGTGTCTTGCTGCTACTTCCTCTGAATCTTATTCACCTCCTATTGTTACCCTTTCCTCATAAAGCTTAACATCCACAGGAAAATGATGCTCCTACCTCCTTACATTTGTTTTGCCCCATTAATATGTAAGAAAAACTGGTGTTTAATTTTGATTTTGTTCTGATTCTAGGTGAGAACTGTGAAATCTCTTGGGACATCTGTTTGCAGGGAAACCCTTGCATGAATGGTGGGACTTGTGAGAAGAACCAGTGTTGGTGTCCGATGGGATATACTGGATCATACTGTGAGCTAGGTACAGACTGAGAACTGAGTGTATTTTCACAATCCCTTATCAAACTCCTTGAAATCCCAGAGTCATTTAAAAATGTTCCATGTATCTTAAAGCAAATGATGTTTTTCGATCAGACTCTTTTAATTATCCTCAGAAGATCTCTTTAATGTTTTGACAAATGTGAATGTATTCACTATAATCATTTGCAACTTTCTTTGTACAGATGCTTTCACTGTTAAGAAGTTATCTCTGAATGCTCCATCTGATTTGCGAAAGAGAATGCTACTGTGGTTTTCTATTTCACTTAAAACTTGCTGGATTCTTAGAAGACCTGACAGGGTAGATGCAGAAAGGTCTCTTTTTACCTTTATGGGAGAGTCTAAGACCAGAGGGCATAATCTCAGATTAAGGGGAAACCCATTTAGGCCAAGATGAGAAGGAATTTCTTCTTTCAGGGTGTCATGAATCTGTGGAATTCTTTACCACAGAGGGCTGCTGAGGTTGGGTCGTTAAGTATATTGAAGGCTGAGATAGACAGATATTAATCAATAAGGGAATTGAGGGTTATGGGGAAAAGGAAGGAGAGTGGAGTTGACGATTATCAGATCAGCCATGAATAGTGAGTAGACTCGATGGGCTGAATGGCTTACTTCTGCTCCTGTATCTTATGGTCTTATTTATTTAGCCACTCATGAATTTATCATCAAGGATCACAACCTGCATTTGTCCAGTCCCTTTAGAATAGAAAAATATCTCTAGATACTTCACAAACCAATAGTGAGACTAAAATGCACACCATGCCAACAATGGGGTCACTGAGGAATGATAATGAAAAATTCTGTGAAAGACATGGATTTGAAGGGTTTTTCTAAAGGATAAGAAAGGGGTGGGGTGATTCAAGAAGGGAATAGAAAAGTATGAGGCCTAGTCATCTGTGAAGGCCTGATTCAAATTGGAATGGAGAACGAACAGGAGTTGCATGAACGCAAAGGTATTGTATGTCAGGGATGGAGACGGAATGATCAAGGATGGATATAAGTACAAATCGTTTTCAACAGAACTATCCAAACCAACAATCTCTGCCATCTAGAAGGACAAGGGCAACAGAAAGATGGAAACACTGCCGCCTGCAAGTTCCTCTCCAAACCACTCACCATCCTAACTTGAAAATATATCACCGTTCCTTCACTATTGCTAGGTCAAAATCCTGGTACTGTCTCCCTAACAGCACCAACAGTGTACATACCCCAGTGCAGTGGCTCAAGAAGGCACATCCCCACTCCACACTCCCATCAAGGGTGGTTGAGGATGGACAGTAAATGCTAGTCTAGTCAGTCGTGCCCACATCCCTTTAAAGGATGAACTTTAATATTCTCTGCCTTGTAAGTCTCTTTTAATGTTGAGGTGTCAGACGCTATTGGGAACAGGAGGAATTATCCTGGTGACTACTTTGAGCAGAGAGCAATACCTACCATGACTAAGTACCAGGAACCTCGGTATTTAACACTCGTGACTCCTGCCCATTCTTGAGCAGTGTGTTCAGCCTGCCCTCATGGTGAGCAAGCCTGATCCTCAGTTGCAGTTGTTCATCAAGTTCTTCCCATAATATGCAGCGTTTCACACAGACTGTGTACAACTGGTATTCCATTGATCATCATTTACTGTGCCTTTCATCCATTTTATTCACAAAGGCTGAAGGAAGCAAAGCTTTTTAAAGACCACCTAAAGCTAAAATTATGTTAGAGAATGGGCCATTCAGAAGATTGATGCCTTTTCAATCAAGATTCTCTGAGTTCAGAAGCTAGCAGATATAATTCTCCCATAGTTTCACTCTTGTAAACGGCGTCCAACATTTTGAACTTCTGGTATGGAATTATAACTATACATTGGCCTTAAATGGCCATTGAAAAACTGATAGTTAAAATCTCACACAGTTATTCTTCATTGTGTAGTGTGGTCAGGCTGTATATCAGAATTTGAGGCGAATGTTGCACTAGCAATTCTCTAATTGTTTGTTGATATGGTGGCCCGGTTTCTAATCAAGGCCCTGATGCAGCAGTGCAAAATTGAAGGTGGCTCCTTCTAAGTGTTTCCTGCTGCACCCATTCCATTTGCAGACATGAAAAATAAGCAAATATTCAGCTGATTACTGCTGCCCTCAAGCCAACGTGTTATTATTCCTAAATGCCATGGGCCTGCCTCTCTTTTTGGCAACTAAATATAAACTTGGAGAGTTGCGATTATCTCTCAAACAGAATGAGCCTGTTTTCAATCAGTCAGATATAGCCTATAAATTGTCAAGAACTTCCATCACCTGCTGTACAGCCTCATTGAGGGCCCAAAGACCAGTTGAGACTTGGAACTTGCTTGTAATCACTTACTTTTGTCACCGGGGTAATAATTAATAACTTTAAAGAATCATAATGCTAATTCTGTTTGACCTCTGTCTCTGGGAGGATTCCAGCATCAGTAAAGGTCATTGGAAGGTCATGGTGGTGAGTTTGGTGTAGGGTTGCAACTTCCCACCACCATTAGTCATAGGATCTGTCGTTCTCAGATCAGAACGTTTTCATCAGATAATGAGTCACCGCTGGGCCGCCCTTATAAAACCTCTGAACAAAGCAGTCTCCAATTCCTTAGGACTGCTGTGAAATCAAACATCCAACAGTTAACAGCTACCTCCCTTCTCCACCTGGAAAATAGTACAGGAAATGAGTAAAGTATCATGATACAATGCCTACCTGTTGCCCTGAGTAAAGAATTCCCTATCAGACTGCCCTTCTAATCTTCTTCCTCCTCTCTTGTAGAGCTAGATTTCCCATGGTGCGGGAAAAGAACAGAAAACCACTTAGTGAGCACACCCTCAGGGTACTCCTGCCCGCTTGCCCCCTAACCTAGGATGTGATCACCTCTCTGAACATGCTACTAACATAGTTCACTGTCTGAAGGATACACATCAGTGACTTCAGCCACTGTTTGAACTATGAAACCAGAGCTTAAACTTCTGCAGTCAGTGACATTTCCTGCACCATTTAGTGATTCTTGGGACATAGGGTCAGTATTTATTGCCCATCCCTAGTTGTGCTTGAGAAGGTGCTGGTGAGCTGCCTTCTTGAGCTGGTGCAGTCCAAGTGCTCTAAGTAAACCCATAATGCCGTGAGGAAAGGAATTCCAGGATTTTGATCCAGGTGCACTGATGCATTTCCAAGTCAGAATAGTGAGGGGTTTGATGGTGTTTCCATGTATCTGCAACCCTTGTCTTTCTCGCTGGTTGTGCACATAAATTTTCAAGGCAGTGTCTGAGGAGTTCTACATCATGAGAAGTGTCCATGACTCCCCAAATGCCACAGGACAAGTGTTCTGCTTAGCCAAGTTGCCTTGCTGTATCTTATACTTCAAAGTTAGCCTACTTGCTGTAATCTTAATTACTTTAATACAGGGGATAAGTAGAAATTTTTCACCCTTACGAATCAGTTCCCTCTCCTTTACCATAAATTCTCACTTTCCCTATGCTGGTTTAGAAATTTGCATGTTTCAAAATTACTGGAGTTGAAACATGGTTGCTAACAGTAGCTGCTCAACACCAACCAACTCATGATGTTCCTGTGATTTCACTCTTCGACTGTTTACGCCCCTCCTTGTGCTTTATGTGGTGTCTGCTCGCTCTTTCTCTCTCTCTTTTGAAGGTGCTGATAACTGTCTCCAGCTGCTCTTTCAGATCTGGTTTATAAAATTGCAACTTGTGTCTTTTTATCAAAGACATATTTCTGAATTTCAAGAATGATGTATTGCTTGTGATTACTTCAACTTCAACGTCAAATCTCAACCAGTAAAAATCACGTATTTAACTTGTTCCCTAAATGCCCAGATCCTATCTTTCTCAGTGGCAGTTCTGCATAAATATTCCCTAGTTGGGGTATCAGTCATTTGCACATGGTCAGAAAAAATCACTTGCGAAGAGTGCCATTTGAACACTCCAGAGGAGGCAACTGTAGCATTAACAGCGAGTAGCTTTTATCATGATATGTGTACAAATTCAGGAACTGTTGGAGGTAAATTTTAACTGGCCTACGAAAGATGGATGAAAAGGGCAGCATTCAACTTAAACAAGACATCAAACAGGTGCTTGAGTCTTATTTTAAATCTTTAATTGTGCTGTTATCAGCAATTGATATGCCCACTATTTGAAAATCTGGACCTAAAGTATACAAACCTAACCACAGGCTAGTAGTTACTACATCAATGGGCACCATAAGTGTAGTGTGGTTAACCATATTCCTCAGGAATGAACATCGGACAAATGACAGTAGTGAGATGCAAGTGTGTATAATGTTTCCTGTGCAAATAGGCTCTGCTGTTTGGAAGTTTGGAAGTTGGTGTCAGCTGAGCTGTACAGCTCAGAAGAATAACACACAGGATTGACCGGGGCTCAGACAAAATAGCTGATCATTTCAGATCTCTTGCTCTGCAAATGGAAATAAGTTGTACTGCAGTATTGCAGCTGAGGGCTCTCATCCTGGATGATCCATCAATTCCTTGCAAGATCATTATATCTGTTCCCCCTCTTGACAGAATTGATCCTAGTTGTGTCTCTGGAATGTGTTGGACCATCACTGGGCTGCCACTTTATATTTAGATATATTCTGAACTTCTGAAGCTGTTCAATTCAGCTGTGCCATAGTACTATACAACACAATGGATAGTGGCTGCAATGTGAGATGGGACTTTGTCTCAAATACTGTGTGGTAGTAAATGCTACCCATTTGTCATGAACAGGTAAATCATTGATAAATTAATAAGAATGAGGCCTCTTACTGGTTTTCTCACCATCTATCACCGACGCTGCCTGACAGATATGTCCCTCAGAATTCAACCAGCTGTGTCACTAATAGCGCTATTGAACTACTCTTGGTGATGCGCTTTTTGAAGTTGCCATCCAGAGTACCCTCTGCATTTGTTCCAAAGTTCAACCTAGGCGAGTAGCGAATCATCAGCTTAGTGAGGGCTGTAGGAGGTTTCTGTTTGAATCAATGCCAGGAGACTTCATCGGGACAGAGTTGAGAATTCCCAGGGACTATTCCTCCTCAACACGTACCACGCTGCCACCACATCTGGGTGATCTGTCTTCCTGATTGAGCAGGGCATATCTGTGAATAGTGATGGTGGAGGCTAAGATGCTGGCTGCAGTTTGGTTTGTGACTGTGTCAAGTTGTTGCTTGGCCAGTCTGTGGGGCAGCTCTCCCAATTTAGCACAAATCACAGCTGTTAGTTAGTGGGACATTGCCGAGTCAGCAGAACTGGGTGTGGGCACTAACATTTCTTCTCCCTCAAAACCAGGAAACGTAATGAAGCACAAGATACAATGGCTTGTTAATGACTTTATTTACACCTACACAGGTATGTCTGCTGTTACCCCAGCACCAGAATGGCACATGGAGGGTAGTGCGGGTAATGTCATTTAGTCTGTGTTGATCTTTGATCTAACAAGGAAGCGGTGGTGATATCTAATTTGGCATGATTCCTAGTCCTAGTTGCCTATAATCATATTTGTAACATTTAATTGTTAAATGATGCACTGAAAGCCCAAGGGAGCAGAAGGAATGTGTAATTCTTTATGAAACATGATGGATTTCCAGCTGTTCTACTACAATTATCGCTCAGTCTTGAACTGTCAGAAATGATATCCCATCACCAGCCTGTTGTAGAGAGCACTGCCTGAGATTTAGTATGAATTTAATTTTTGATCCTTTTCATATCATGGAACATTGATTTAAAGAGAATTATATATTTTTTTGAGGACTTTTTAATCTGGAATTCCCATTTCCCATTGGATGTACTCTTGGAAGATTCATCACAGGACCTTCCGCTTGCAGTAACCCAAAAGTCTGTTTCCATCTCTGATGCTTTTATAATTATTAAACGTAAATTTTAAAAAAGCCATTCTCCCCAAATTATCCACCTATATCTCTCTCTTAGAATGCTGTCAGCAATGTCCCACAGACTAATCTCTAATTCTAGGGGACTCTAAGAGTACCTGAGTTTGTCCCAACTTTTCTTTACCTGTGGAGATGGTGGTAATCATGCAGCTCCCTTCAGGCCCGAGGCTCTATAAGGCTCCAGTCAGACCCTATGTGTAATACTGTGAACAGTTTTGGGCTCTGTATCTCACAAACAACGTGCTGGCCTTGGAAGGGGTCCAGAGGAGGTTCACAAAAATGATCCCAGGAATGAAGGTCTTGTCATATGAGGAGCGGTTGAGGATTCTGAGTCTGTGCTTGATGGAGTTGAAAATGATAGGGGGGATGCTGATTGAAAGTTACAGAATACTCAGAGGCCTGGATCGAGTGGATGTGGAGAAGATACTTCCACTTGTAGGAGAGACTAGGACCTGAGGGGACAGCCTCAGAATGAAGGGACGACCCGCTAGAACTGAGATGAGAAGGAATGTCTTCAGCGAGAGGGTGCTGGGTCTGTGGAACTCATTGTCACAGAGGGCTATGGAGGCCAAGTAGTTGAGTCTATTTAAGACAGCGATAGGTTCTTGATTAGTAAGGATATCAAACATTGTGGAGAGAAGGCAGGAGAATGGGGTTGAGAAATGTATCAGCCATGATCGAATGGCAGAGCAGACCCAATGAGCTGAATGCTCTGATGTCTTATGGACTGGACTAAGAGCTTTCAGCTGCTGGTAGTACAAATGAGAATGAATTGCAGTTGTCAGATTTGGAATGTGATAAGCATTGCTTCGTTGCCCCCCACATAAACTGTGTCCTAGAACCGATCCTCCCTTTTAAACCCAAAACTCCATCCCAACTTCGGAAACTACACATGCAACCAGTTCACTGCTAAGGCTAATGCTGTCAACGCTGCATTGTGTAAATGGTGGCCACAGTATTTGAAAATAATCAGCTCATGGGTTGAATGTGTCTCCAACAGCTGCTGCTGAACATGTGAAGAAGTGGTTATGGTTGTCACTTGAAGGAGGAGTGTGTATAGAAATAGCAAAGAAATAACAGGGTGGAGGATGTTAATACTTTGTCATCGATTTGGGCTTAAAGGATGTTAATTTAACTCAAATCCAGTCCTGTAGTGCATCATTTAGCTTTAATTTAGATCTGATCATATACTAACACTTTCATATAGTGTCTTTGAATTATCTGTTGGAATGAACACAAGTTAATTTGATACCAATGGGCTGTATAAACTGTTGTGACAGAAGGACAAAAATGATTACATGAAAAAACATAAAGCATCTCTTCTGATGATTCAACCATCAAGCAACCTTTCAGTTGAGAAATAGATGACTGACTCCTTCAGTAGGGAAATCTGGTGCAGATGAGGATGGATAAATTAAATTGCATCTCTGGTCACGTCTCTGCCCCTTGCCTCTCACTGTTGAGTCTTTATAAAGGCACAAGAAATATATTGTGGCTGTACTTGTACAGAAATACTTCAAGGCACTATATGAAAGAATATACCAATCACTTTTACAGAATTAACCCCAGTAGTCAGCAATATACCTAGATTGCAAATTCTGCTCAATGGCTACCAGAATTTAGCATTCGGGCATACACGTAGTAATAATTTTTGTACATAATTATTTTTGTTGTAAATTTGTTTACAAATTTAGCTTAATGCTGGGTTGATGGTGTTACATTTTAAAGATGTGTTTGTCTTTGTGTCAATTTTTAACCTTGCAAAACACCTTTTTCATTGTCTTCTCGGAGAACAGGTTACAAACCCGGCTTGTATGTGATTATTTTTCCTCCCCAGAATAGATCTCAAAAACTAACCTTTAAATCCTTGTTCATAAAATGATGGTTACATATAGATTAAGACACTAGGCAGTAATTACAAATGTTCAGTTAGATTGAAGAGTTCAATTGATGTATATTTTTTAAAAACCGTGGCAGTCACATTTCACAACAACATTTTGTGCATATTATTTTGATAATCCATAATGATTTCTATTTGATGTGAGTGTTATAATCTGATGTGTTTATACTTTGGTACCAGAATCCATTCTGGGGGCATAGTCCATGTCCCCTCACAGGATTTGGACTCATTCTGCCTGTGCTTCGTCAATCAGGAGCACTTTCAGAAGTGAAATATTCATATGCAGCATTTGTTTTATTCTTTCATGGGGTGTGGGTATCATTGACAAGGCCAGCATTTGTTGCCCATCCCTAAATACCCTTGAACTGATTTCAGAAGGCAGTAACAGTCAACCACATTGCTGTGGGTCTGGAATCACAAGTAGGGCAGATCATTTAAGTGCAGCAGATTTACTTCCCTAAAGGACATTAGTGAACCAGATGGGTATTTACAACAATCAAGATAATTTTATGGTCACTATGGGGCTGACTGACCTCCCCCTGCTTTTGGCCATAGATTGTTGAGGCAAACTTTCAATTATTAATTAATGTAATTTATATTCCACTAGCTGTGTTAGAATTTGAACCCTTTGGCCCCAGAGCACTAGCGTGGGCCGCTGTATTACTCATCCAATTACATTGCCACCATCTTCCTGTATATTTTGGAGTATCTGCTATCATCTTATATCTGCACTTGTATAGAAAAAAATGTTTTTTTTCAGCAGGTTAATTAGGGAAATAAGAAAAATATTTGTATTCCTGTTGCATTTTTCACCTCCTTGGAATGTTCCATAATAAAACGTGAGGTGAGAGTGACTGCCCTTGACAACAGGGCTGTATTTGACCGAGTGTGGTATCAAGGAGTCCTAGCAAAACTGGAATCCAATGGGAATGGGAAACTCTCCGTTGGTTGGAGTCATACCTGGCATATAGGAAGATGGTTGTGGTTGTTGTGGGTCAGTCATTTCTGTTCTCAGACACCTCTGCGCAAGTTCCTCAGGATAGTGCCCTAGGCCCAACCATCTTCTGCTGCTTCATCAATGACATTTCTTCCATCGTAAAGTCAGAAGTGGGGGTGCTCACTGATGAATGCACAATGTTAGCATTTGTGACGACTCAAATACTGAAGCGGTCCAAGTTGAAATGAAACAGGATCTGGACAATATCCAGACTTGTGCTGACAAGTGGCAAATGACATTCATACCACACAAGTGTAGGCAATGACATCACCAAGCAGAGACAATCTAACCACCATCCCTTGATATTCAGTGATGTCACCATCACTGGTTCCCACTATCAACATCATGGGGGTTACCATTGGCCAGAAACTCAACTGGACTGGCTATATAAGCACAGTGGCTATAAAAGCTAGGAACACTGCTGTGAGTAACTCACCTCCTGACTTCCCCCAAGCCTATAGTCAGGTGTGTGATGGAATATTTCTGATTTCCCTCAATGACTGCAACACTCAAGAAGCTGACATCATCCAGGACAAAGCAGTCCACTTGATTGACACCACATCCACTCCCTCCTCCACCAATGCTCAGTAGCATCAGTGTGTACTACCTACAAGTTGCACTGCAGAAATTCACTAAAGATCCTCAGACAGCACCTTCCAAACCCACGACCACTTTGATCTAGAAAAACAAGGGCAGCAGATACCTGGGAACACCTCCATCTGCAATTTCCCCTCCAAGTCACTCACTATCCTGACTTGGAAATATGTCACTGTTCCTTCACTGTCACTAGTTGAAAATCCTGGAATTTCCTCACTAAAGGCATTGTGAGTCTACCTACAGCAAACAGCTTGCCACCACCTTCTCATGAGCAACCAAACACAGGCAATAAATGCTGGCCAGCCAGTGATGCCCACATCCCATGAGCAAATTTTCAAAAATACAATAAGTAAGGGATGGAGTGGACTGTTTGGCCCCTTGAGCCTCCTATTCCATGCCATTGTGCTTATCTCCTCCTTTGGCTCCACTTTCCTGTCCGCTCCACAGTCCCTCAATTCCTGGAAAGATTCTGAGAGAGAGAGTGAAAGCGAGACAGTCCTTCTACCTCAGATTTGAATATATTCAAGGATGTAGCATAAACAACCCTCCTTGATGGAGCCTTCCAAAGATTCACAAGGCTTTGAGTGAGGACATTTCTTGTCACCTCAGCCATAATGAATCAACTCACCCAACCAACACCCCCCCCCAATCTTTATCCTGTGCCTCTGTGTTCTGAATTTTCCACACAGGAGACACCATTTCTATCCTTGTCTATCCAGTCAAGCCCCTTCGGAATTTTCAATCCTCAGTCCTGTAACCTCCAGAGAATGTTGATCCAATTTACTCAGCCTCCCGTTATAATCATAAGCCCCCAGTGATCAATCTAGTGAACCTTCACTGCACTATCTCCAAAGTGAGTACATTCTTCCTTAAATCCGGAGACCAAAACTGCATAGAGTTCTCCAGGTGTTGTTTCGTCAAAGCCCTGTGGCAGTTGTAGCAAGCTGTCTTTATTCCAAACACTTTGTAATAAAGACTAACATGCAACTTGCTAAACTAATTGCTTGTTTTAACTGCATGCTAACTTTGTGTGCCCTGTACAAGTGCATGAAGGTCTTTGAACATCAACAATTAGGAGTTTCACACCTGTTTAGAAATTTTCTGTTTTCCTGTTGTTATCATCAGAGTGAGTTAACCTGACACTTGCCCGCATTATACTCCATCTGCCTCATTTCACCTGCTCTGGAGTCATTCTGGTCATTTTTGAGATGTAGTCACTGTCCCAATATTGGAAACATAGCCATCCAATTTCCATGGTGCAAGTGTCCAGAAACATCAGCGTATTAATGACCAGATAAGCTTTTTTGGTGATGAATAAATATTGGCCGGGGCATTGGGAAAATTTCTCTGTCCCTTCAGAAATGTCAAATAGCTTCTAATAGACACCTGAGGATGCAGGCACAATCTTGATTTAATGTCTAATCCAAAAGATGGCCTTTCTGACAGTCCAAGCACGCCTCCATATGCTCTGTGCCCCAGTGGTTCAAGCTCCTAACTCAGTGGCTAGGAGCCTTGCATTGAGCTGTGGGTGGCGTCTTTTGATTATAAAATGAGAAGTTCTCATTCACCCTGTGACATGTGATACAATAGGTATTGGAGACACTTTGGAGGCTTCTCCGATCTTCACAGAAGCTGACTGGGGTTGCAGGGGTGGGGGTGTGCTATTTTTGGAGGGGGGTGTGCTGGATGCTGAAGTTCAGTAATAAAAGAAACAGAAAGTGCCAGGGTAACTCAGGCCTGGCAGCATCTGTAGAGAGAGAAACAGTTAACTTTTAAGTCCAGTATGATAGCATTTTAAACCTCTTAGAGGTTTGGTGTCCAGTTTTAATGAGTTTAGTACTCCTTATTGGGCAAGTTTATTTTTGGTGCTTTTCTGGAGTAACCTAGTCATTCTGGTGTTACCTAGTCATGTTCCAGTGTCCTTCATTTAGTATGGATTGACCTGCCCATTCCTTTTACATTTGTTTGGGAACTTCCCTAAAACAATGGCCACCTCACCTGCCTGTTGAAACCTCTTGGCACTCATAGACATGCATCCCTTAGTTAATCATTTCTTATATTAATCATACCTATATGTGGATTGGATTGAATGATTTCCCATTGGTCCTGAGACATGAAATGTACCGTTGTAAGGTTCTGAAGGTGTGAGACATGATCCAAGCTAACAGTCCAGCACAATTACTCGGAGAACGCTGCTCTACCAGAGGTGCCCGTTTTTAAATGAGACGTTAAACTGAGTTCTATCTGCCTCTTCAGGTGGGCACAGAAGATCCCACAACACTATTGGAAGAAGAGCATCGGACTTGTGCCATGTGTCCTTTCCAATAGTTATCCATCAACCTGCAACAGACTATCTGGTCATTTAAGTTTGTGTTTGTGGACTCTTGCTGTGTGTAAATTACTTGGCAGTTTTTCTGTATTACTGCAGTCATTCTTTAGTTTTTGAATACTTTCAGACATCTTGAAAGGTGGTTTAAAATTATAATTCTTACTTTTGCCCTTTGGCCACCATTAGCACATAACATGGCATCAACCAACATAAATCTCAGGGTCCAGGCCTAGACCCGAAACGTCAGCCTTCCTGCTCCTCTGATGCTGCTCGGCCTGCTGAGTTCATCCAGCGCTACACCTTGTTATCTCAGATTATCCAGCATCTGCAGTTCCTACTATCACTGACAACTCTGTTCAGTCTCTGACATGACCCTTTTTTCTCTGCCCTCTTTCTTTTCTCTTGACAACATTACTTCCTCGGTGTTTCCTACATAACTTTGCGCTCCTGAAAGAGATACCATGATGAGAAAGGGAAATGAGGTGTCAGTTCCCTGACAGGGAAAGTGCAAAGTTCTTCTTAACACAGTCCACCAGAGTTTTAAGGATGAACCTTTTAGAGATAGTGATGATGTGTGGATGTTGGGGTTCATGCCGACCTCCAGTTTTAATTCACTCTATTCTGCTGTTTGCTCCCTTGGCCTGCAATGAAAAGGCTGCAGCAAAGGATTAGGGTTGGTTTTAGCTCAGGATGGGGATGTGTAGGAAACTGTGAGACAATCTCCAAGTTCAGCAGGATGCCCAGACTCACGTTAATGCCCAGGCCTCATTTCAAGTGCCTCCCACCACGATTGGTATCAAGAGTTGGATCAGGAACCCCATCATTCTAGGGAATAGCACCACTCAACCCCCCCCCTCTCCAACCTGAAGTTATTGCTGGGGGGTGGACCTTGACCCAGGATACTGGCACTGGGAGGAAGATGAAAGACTAAAGGATAAGGGGGAGAGAGGCGAGACCGGGGCTGTAAAGTGAGGAGAAAGGTCAGAGGGATGGAATGTGTTGGGGTACTGGTGAAGCCCTGGACATAGGCAAAGTGGGATGTGGTCTGTTATTGGTTTGTTGGGTCTTTGTGTCCAGTGAAAATGAAAAGGAAATCTCTGATATGCAGTTTTCCGGTCATCAAGGGAAGAGGACATTTTGAGTTTAAAACAGCATTGAGGTATATACAGAGGCAGGTGGAATATGAGACTCATTTGTGTGAATTTGTATTCAAGCTGTCGCTGATGTATGGAAATCACTGAGATGAATGCTGCAGGTTGTTGTTGGGCTGTTTGTGAACTACAACACATCCAGATTATCCCAGCAGCTGCAGTCACTGCCTTTACGTTTCAGTGATTAAGTAAAATTGTCTTGTGGGAAAAGCAATGTACCTCCTGGGAACAGGCCTGATTTTAAAGTCTAATGAAGACAGCTCAATGTCTCCAAAGAAATATTATATTGAAAATGACAGGGCAATGGTAGAGCTTAAAGCTGCGATCACATCCTTGATTTTAAATGTTCAATGTCCAGGGGGATCTCCTGTGAAGCCCAAATAGAGCAGAGCATGAACTGCTGAAATTACACTAATATGACAAGAATTTTATTGACTATACTTTAAGTAGGAAGGCAATACAATAATCTAATGATTATCAGTTGAATTAACACATTACAAATAAATGTTACAGAACAAGAAAATCAATTTGTGGGGAAGAAGGATTTTAGGGATTAGAGAGCAATAATGAACCTCAAGTTAACATGCTTCAGGAATATGTTAAGAAGACACTACATAGAATTCCTGCAGTGTGTATGTGGAAGGTTTCATTATATGAAGGGAGGTGTTTGATGACTGAGGCTTGCTTACTGATATGAACTCTTATTACTGTCTCTTTATACAGACTCTCCTGTGCAATATGGAGCTTTCTTCCATGATGGAGGATACATTGTGTTGCCAAAACAGATGTTCCCAAGGAGGTAAGAGCAATGGGTGGTTATGAGTGTTGGCGTTCAGTTCAGCCACCTCCAGCTGTGAGTCAGACATGCTAAACCTCATCCTCATCTTCACCCTCACCCACAATTACAACATTTGTGAAAAGGCCAGTGCTCTGTATGAATCTTTAACATGAGAATATTGTACATCATTTCTGGTTGTGATAGGGATGGGGTGCTGTTCGGTAGAATGTAGATGTAAAAATATATGGATATCCCGATTTCTTTTTCACTTATGAATTTAAAATATGGGGTGAGCTTGTAGAGGTTTATAAAATCATGAGGGGCATAGATAATGTGAACAGCAAAGGTCTTTTTTTCCTAGGGTAGGGGATTTCAAAACTAGAGGGTATTTTGTTAAGGTGAGAGGAGAAAGATTTAAAAGGGACCCAAGGGGCAACATTTTCATACAGAGGGTGGTGCGTACGTGGAATGAACTGCCAGAGGAAGTGGTAGATGCAAGTACAGTTACAACATTTAAATAACATTTGGACAGGTACATGAATAGGAAAGGTTTGGAGGGATATGGAACAAATACAGGCAAGTGGGACTGGTTTAGTTTGGGAAAACTTAGTCGGTGTAGATGAGTTGGACTGAAGTGTCTATTTTCTTGCTGTATGACTCTATGGTTTGTTCAGAGGCTGGGATTACTCCACCAAGTGCAGATTCTTTAAGATATTCTGGGGCCAAAGGCAAGGTCCTACTTCTTTAATAAATGTTGTCCCCACCCAACCAAGTTTTTGGTAGATGATCATTGCAGCTGAGGTGAATACTGGGGAGCTCCTCAATACAGAGTAAGTACCTTCAGATACACCAGTCTCTGTCTTTATTTAGTATGCTGCCTTTTTTCAGGGTTCTAGCCAATGATCCAGGATTGATCACCCAATGAGTAGGCATTTCTATTTGGGCAGTGTCCAATCTTTGTCCTTCCGGGATCATACGGATGACTGTCATTTGATTGGATTGAGGGTGCTAAAACTCACTTACCCTAGTCACATCCCTCTGACGTGTGGTACCTTGGGTGGCTGCATGAAGGTTTTACCCTCAACCGAGGCCTGATGGATGTGACAGAAGAGAGCAAAACTGGATGCACCAAGTTCAGGCCAAAAGCCCAAGCCTCATGGCACATTCCATCCCGGCCTATAGCAGGAGTACTCCCCACCTCCACCAAGAATGACCAGAGTCATCGTGGACTCTCTGAACCAGAGGCTTTTGTTCTCTGTCAGAGTCATAGAGCTGTACAGCATGGAAACAGACCCTTTGGTCCAACTCGTCCATGCTGACCAACATCCTAAATTAATCTAGTTGCATTTGCCAGCATTTCACCCATATCCCTCTAAACACTTCCTATTCATGTACCCATCCAGGTGCCTTTTTAACGTTGTAATTGTACCAACCTCTACCACCCCCTTTCCATGCACACACCACCCTCTGCATGAAAAAGTTGCTCCTTGGGTCCCCTTTAAATCTTTCCCCTCTCAACTTAAACTTATGTCCTGTAGTTTGATTTCGCTACCCTGGAGAAAAGACCCTGGCTATTCACCCTATCCATGCCCTTCATGATTTTACAAGCCTCTATGAGGACATCCCTCAGCCTCCGATGCTCCAGGGAAAATAGTCCCAACCTATTTAGCCTCTCCCTATAGCTCAAACCCTCCAATCCTGACTATATCCTTGTAAATCTTTTCTGAACCCTTCCAAGTTTCACAACATCCTCCCCATAGCAGGGAGAGCAGAATTGAACGCAGTATTCCAAAAGTGGCTTAACCAATGTCCTGCAGAGCCACAACATGACATTCCAACTCCTATAATCAATGCACTGACCAATAAAGACAAGTGTACCAAATACGACCTTCACCACCCTGTCTACCTGTAACTCCACTTTCAAGGAACTATGATCCTGGACCTCGAGGTCTCTCTTCAGCAACATTTCCCACAACCTTACCATTAAGTATATAAGTGCTGCCCTGATTTGCCTTATCAAATTTATGTAAATTAAACTTCATCTGCCACTCCTTGGACCATTTGCCCACCTGATCAAGGTTTCATTGTACTCAAAAGGGAAGGTATTAAGAGGATTTTATAATACTTCTATTTAACAATTCTGTGGTTTAATTGTCACAGTTCTCCAACTGCCCCTGAAACCATTGAAATGGAGGTTCGTACAACATCACTTGATGGGATCCTGCTATGGCAGGGAGTGGTAAGTACCTCAAGTATTACTAACAGATTAAGGCAAACATCTGGAACTTATATTTTGTTGAAAATCTTTGAGATACTGCAACCTCTGTATCTGTTCTGTGCAACATAAGCACAAATGTGATCTTTACAGAGATTCCACTCAAGATATCAGGCAGTGGGAAAGCAGAGGAAATATTGATTCCATCAGGGAGTGAGATCATTGGGCCCACATGTTTCTACATGGTTCAGCCCTTTTATACAGTTGTGCATCTTGTCCTTGTTTACAAATAATAATGTGATTTATGTTATTATTTGTAATTAATAGCACAGTGTTGAGAAAGAGAATTAGTTAGGGTCTAGGAATTTTTCTGCACAACAGGCTGAGGAGCTGGGAGAATTAAGGCACTACAGTGCCACTTCTGGTGGGAGGGTGTAATCACAGCATGACAGGTTTACATTTGGAGTTACCAATAGAAGTGTTAATATCAGAATTTATAACAGGCAAAGGTGTAAGAAATGTGTGCCAGAAATGAGACATTAAAAGAAACAATAAAGTATGAGTATTAAGGTAGCTTTTCATAAAATCACTCCACATTTAAATTAGAATCAAATCTTGGGGTTTTAGGTGTTTTCGCAGCCTTAAATTCTGTTGTTAGATATTTTCTCAATCCTTGTCGTTGTTCACAGTCTTGGGCACTTTTATCCTCAGCATACACTCCACTGTTCAAGCAGGGTCGACAATTTCATATCTCACCGAGAGAAAGACATCCAGCGTTATAAGAGGGGTATTAACAGATTCCTCGACTCCTCAGAAACTATTAAGCTTTCCATGCCTCACTGTGTCGTTTTCAGCTCACTAGTTAAGGTTTTGTTAATGACAGAGTTTCTTGTGTTTGTAGAAACACGGGGAAAATGGAAAAGGGAAGGACTTTGTTGCTCTTGGTCTCCAAAACGGTCATGTGCTCTTCAGGTAAGGCACGCAAGATGTGATGCGGGTCAACAAGTAAATCCTGTTTGTTGATCGTGGGCTCAAAAAGCTCTCCTTTGGTGTATTCATGTGGCTTTAGGTCCAGAATGCAATCCCACCTTGTGTAACTTTCTCTCTGCTTCTTCTGCCCTATTGTACATGTCAGCATGCACAGGTATTCATATATTCCTTGGTGCCCACTCCATTGCGGATGTGAGCACAACTATTCTGCTCCCTGTCCCTTACTTCATATTTTGTATTACTGGGTAATTTTAATTTGCCAAATTCATATGTTAATGGATGGCAATGGCCTCAAAATGTGTACAGTGGTCTTAGCTACTCCTTAATGTTTCTTCTTTTCCTTCTACCACCTTAACAAGGCCACCTGTAGGCAGCATGTTTTGTGTGGAATGGTGCTTTGAGACACAAATCAGAGTCACATCATTCCACCTATCATTTCAGGATAGAGCTAGTCAGAGATCCTGAGAATGACAATTATTCTTGGTTCTTGTTGAGCCAGGAAGGGTAAGGGTGCTTCTCCAGGCACCACAGAAATAATCTAGACTGAAGCTGCCTCACTACAATTAGATGCCAATGCCACATTTACTCACAGTGGAGCACTGGAATGCCCATTACAGGTGGGCAGCTTGCCCCTTTACTTAAATGAGTCTTGGCTTCACAAAGGCCCTAGCATTGTCACTGCCAGAAGGGACAAATTTCTGGAACATTCCACTTGCCAGCCACCTGAAGAGGCTTGTAACAGGAAACACCATATAGAACCAGACAGTAGCTCAGCTGAGATACTAACGTCATGAGGAGAAATAGGATTGTCTCCCAAACTGCAGCTACCAGACTTGTCACAGAGTGGAGATCAGGCCAGTCTCTTTGGCTCAGAGATTCACTGAGGCTTCACTCAAATCATCCTGTCCCAGTCACATGGTTGGAGCTTGAATCTTTTCACTTCAAATTAAGAGTTCAGAATGCTCACAATCCCATAGATAATTCAGGCTACTTGGGTCAGCTTAGGATAAAAAGGAAAGTACTTGCATTTCCATAGCGCCTTGCATTACCTCAGTACATTCCAAAGTGCTTTGCAACCAGTTAGCTCTGTATTTGAGACAACAAGGTGCAGGGCTGGATGAACACAGCAGGTCAAGCAGCATCATAGGAGCAGAGAGGCTGACGTTTCGGGCCTTGACCCTTCATCAGAAAAGGGGGAGGGGAAGGGGGTTCTGAAATAAATAGGGAGAGAGTGGGAGGCGGATAGAAGATGGATAGAGGAGAGGATAGGTGGAGAGGAAACAAACAGGTCGAAGAGGCGGGGATGGGGCCAGTAAAGGTGAGTGTAGGTGGGGAGTTAGGGAGGGGATAGGTCAGTCCAGGGAGGACGGACAGGTCAAGGGGGCGGGACGAGGTTAGTCGGTAGGAGATGGAGGTGCGACTTGAGGTGGGAGGAGGGGATAGGTGGGAGGAAGAACAGGTTAGGGAGGCAGGGACGAGCTGGACTGGTTTTGGGATGCGGTAGGGGGAGGGGGAGATTTTGAAACTTGTGAAATCCATATTGATACCATTGGGCTGCAGGGTTCCCAAGCGGAATATGAGTTGCTGTTCCTGCAACCTTCGGGTGGCATCGTTGTGGCACTGCAGGAGGCCCAGGATGGACATGTCGTCTGAGGAATGGGAGGGGGAGTTGAAATGGTTCGCGACTGGGAGGTGCAGTTGTTTATTGCGAACCGAGCGTAGGTGTTCTGCAAAGCGGTCCCCGAGCCTCCGGTTGGTTTCCCCGATGTAGAGGAAGCCACACCGGGTACAGCGGATGCAGTATACCACATTGGCAGATGTGCAGATGAACATCTGCTTGATGTGGAAAGTCTTCTTGGGGCCTGGGATGGGGGTGAGGGAGGAGGTATGGGGACAGGTGTAGCACTTCCTGCGGTTGCAGGGAAAAGTGCCGGGTGTGGTGGAGCTGGAGGGAAGTGTGGAGCGGACAACGGAGTCACGGAGAGAGTTGTCCCTCCGGAAAGCAGATAAGGGTGGGGAGGGAAAGATGTCTTTGGTGGTGGGGTCGGATTGTAGATGGCGGAAGTGTCGGAGGATGGAGCGTTGGATCCGGAAGTTGGTGGGGTGGTACGTGAGGACGAGGGGGATTCTTTTTTGGTTCTTATTGCGTGGACAGGGTGTGAGGGATGAGTTGCGGGAGATGTCGGAGACACGGTTGAGGGCGTTCTCGACCACTGAGGGGGGGAAGTTACGGTCCTTGAAAAACGAGGACAACTGAGATGTACAGGAGTGGAATGCCTCATCCTGGGAGCAGATGCGGCGGAGGCCAAGGAATTGAGAATAGGGGATAGCATTTTTGCAGGAAGGTGGGTGGGAGGAGGAGTATTCTAGGTAGCTGTGGGAGTCAGTGGGCTTGAAATGAATATCGGTTTCTAGGTGGTTGCCCGATATGGAGACAGAGAGGTGTTAGAGATGGTCCAGGTAAACTTAAGGTTGGGGTGGAAGGTGTTAGTGAAGTGGATGAACTGTTCGAGCTCCTCGTGGGAGCACGAGGCGGCGCTGATACAGTCATCAATGTAACGGAGGAAGAGGTGGGGTTTGGGGCCGGTGTAGGTACGGAAGAGGGATTGTTCCACGTAACCTACAAAGAGGCATGCGTAGCTTGGGCCCATGCGGGTACCCATGGCTACCCCCTTTGTCTGTAGGAAGTGGGAGAAATTGAAAGAGAAGTTGTTGAGGGTGAGGACGAGTTCGGCTAAGTGGATGAGGGTGTCAGTGGAGGGAGACTGGTCGGGCCTGCGGGACAGGAAGAAGCGGAGGGCCTTAAGGCCATCTGCATGGGGAATGCAGGTGTAGAGGGACTGGACGTCCATGGTAAAGATGAGGTGTTGGGGACCGGGGAATTGGAAGTTCTGGAGGAGGTGGAGGGCGTGGGTGGTGTCACGGACATAGGTAGGGAGTTCCTGGACCAAGGGGGAGAAAATGGAGTCCAGATAGTTGGAGATCAGTTCGGTGGGGCAGGAGCAGGCAGGGACAATGGGTCGACCAGGGCATTCAGCCTTGTGGATTTTGGGAAGGAGATCGAAGCGGGCAGTGCGAGGTTGGGGAACGATGAGGTTGGAGGCCGTGGGTGGGAGGTCACCTGAGGTGATGAGGTTGTGGATGGTTTGGGAGATGATGGTTTGGTGCTCAGGGGTGGGGTCATGATCAAGGGGGCGGTAGGAGGAGGTGTCGGAGAGCTATGTATTCGAAGTGTCATCGCTGTTGTCATATAGAACACACAGCAGCCAACTTGTGCAATGGAAAGGCCGCCCAGCAATGTGATGACCAGGGATGGATTGATGAAGGTGCTTGCCCAGGGCAGTAGGTAGAATGCCTTTACTTATATTTGATAAACATTTTGGAATCTTTCACATCCACCTGAGAGAGCAATAGAAGTCTCAAATAACTCCTCATACAGAAAACAGCCCCTCCAAATGTGCAGCACTCCCTCAGTGCTGCACAGAAGCACAGCTTGTGTTATGTTCTCATGGTTTCTTATGATGCAGAGGCAGTGTGTCTGAGAAATCAAGCAAGTGTCACACAAAGCAATCAAAATCTGGAAATAAAAAGGCAATATTCAGCATGCTGGAAATCTGAAATGAGAACAGGGTGTGCTGAAAATCTCTCACCAGGCCAGGCCGCATGTGTGGAGAGGGAAACCAAGTTAACATCCATCATCTTGGCCTGAAACATTACCTCAGTTTCTGTCCATACATGCTGCCAGAGTTTCTCCAACATTGTCTGTTCTTGTAGAGTATCAGTAATAGACTACAGGATGGAACAGATGACAAACCTAGTGTCATTTTGCAACGAAACCAGCAATATGGAGCCTGCGGGGTTTCTCTTGATGGGTGAGCTGATAGCATAGGAGCAATGAATTGACTTCCTAGTCTGTTGTTATCCTTTTGATTTTCTGCTGACTTTTAAAATAATGAGTTGATTCTCCTCATTAGTAAGATGAACCTTGAGTCAGTGCCTTTTTGTGTCAACTTTTGGCAACTGTTTCTACTGCTATGTAATAGTTCATTTCTCTGTTCATATTTTCAATTAAACTATACTGCAAAAAATTACAGAAACAGGTATAATCAATGATGCTGGGTGTCACTACCTAATCACTCTCAATTATTATCATAAAGTATCATGCAAGGTATCCAGTGGATGACAGGATGCCTTTTTCAATTGTCTTCTAGGTTGAGGAGCTTGAGATCTGACCCAGGAATTCATCAGGGTCAATACAAAAGGATATTTTTTTTCCTCTAGTGGAGGAATCCAGATCCAGGGTATTAAGGCATTATTAAGATGGCTCACTTCAGATTGAAGAGATAGTAAGAACTGCAATTGCTGGAGTCAGAGATAACACAGTGTGGAGCTGGAGGAACACAGCAGGCCAGGCAACATCAGAGGAGAGGAAAGTTGATTAAGGGTCCCAACCCAAAACGTCAACTTTCCTGTTGCTCTGGTGCTGCCTGGCCTGCTGTGTTCCTCCAGCTCCATATTGTGTTATCACTTCAGATTGAAGCTGTGGAAGATTGTGGAAATCTGGAATTCACTCCTGTAAAAGGCTTTGGGTCACCTGAAGCTGGAACTCCTGAGGCTTTCACAAGGAGGATCAATAAATTATTATTGGGTATAGAGCAAAGCTGAGTAAATGGAGTTGAGGTACAAATCAGCCGTCACTTCGAGGACTGAATGGCCTGCCCCGTTCCCATTCATGTTCCCAATATACCTCCAAATTGCGACACGGCAATACTAGATTCTTCTGTAACTTCTGTTTTGACACAGTTCTTCACCCATTGTTATCTCCATGCAGTTATCAACTAGGAAGTGGTGAAGCCAATATCCTGTCAGAAGATCCGATCAATGATGGAGAATGGCATAGAATAATTGCTGTGCGGTAAGGAATTGGAAAGCATTTCTGTTATTATATATTGGTATCAGAATTGTAATGTTATTGGACTAGTAATCCAGGCACATCAATGCTCCGGGGAATATGTGTTCAAATCTCATTACAGCAGTTAAAGGAATCTGAATTCAGTTAATTAGATCATAAGAGCACAAGAAATAGGAACAGGAGTAGGCCCTTGAGCCTGCTACACAATTCAACAGGATCATGGCTGACGTAACATTCCTCTTGTCCCCTTTCACAATTTCATGTCACAATTTCAGGAGAAGGCCATATCTACTTCTTGGTTTCTAAACCTCAGGAATCGTGGAAAGATGGCATCTGTTTGGAATCTAAAGAATATTTTTCTCCACAGGGAAGGAAAATCAGGATATATCCAACTAGATAGTGAGGAGATTGTGAGGGGAGAGTCCAAAGGAGACAAGGTCATGGTAAACACGAGAGGAAGTGTCTACTTGGGTAAGTTTGGATTTTCATTCAGCAATTCCCACCAGCTTGTCTTGTGGCATGTCAAAATATGAAATTGTGATTGAATGATGTCCACTATATTATATCTAGAAAGAGACGCAAAATGCTTGTGTTTGACAAATCCCAGCTATTAAAAGGCAATTAATTAACTTGGAAGTTTGGTTTGATTTGATTTATTGTAGCCACATGTACCTAAGTACAGTGACAAATGTTGTTTTCCAAGCAGTATAGGCAGATCAAAGCAAACAAGGACATACAAATCATAGGGTGCATCGACAGAGCAAGGCATATAGGTTACACTGCACAAAGAGTGCACAAACCAAGATCAACATCAGATTTGAAATTAGTGAGGTCCATTTAGCAATGTAATACAGCAGGGAAGAAGCTGTTCTTGAACCTGTTGATGCAAGTGTTTAAGCTTCTGTACCTTCCACCTGATGGAAGAGGTTGGAAGAGAATATTACAGGGTTGAAGGGGTCTTTTTTTGATGTTGGCAGCCTTTCCATTGCAATGAGAAGTGTTCACGCAACTTTCTGTAGTTTCTTATGGTCCTGAGCAAGTATCAAGCTGTTATGCATCAGATTGAATGCTTTCTGTGGTGCATCTGTAAAATTTGGTGAGGGACGTTATGGACATGCCGAATTTCTTAAGCCACCTGAGGAAGAAGAGGCGTTGTACCTTCTTGACTGTCACATCTATATGGGAGGCCCAGGACAGGTTGTTGGTTAGTGTGATTATTGTTCCAGGAGAGGGCCAGGCAACAGCCAGATCCCACAAACAACCACAAGGTAAATGATTAGATCATCTCTGGTAGTCTTTTACAGCCACACAAAAGAGCAGACAGTACCTTTGTATGAGGTCTGCTGTAATAAATCATATCGCAATCAGTGCAGTACCAACTCAGTATTAACAGAGAGTATGCGATTGAGTTCATAATATAGGTTTGAATTCACTATCTTCTGAGTCACTGGTCGGAGAGCTACCAGCAAGTTGCCACCTCAGGTCTCATTAGGAACCTAATTCCAGCTTCTTATGCATCTCCTGTTTTAATTGTTCCACCACAGCTGACTGTGCCTTCAGCTGCAAAGCCACCAGAGCCTGAAATTCCCTTCTTATTATCTCCCCATCTCTCTCTCTCCTCCTTTAGGTTCTGGGGCATATCTTATCATATTGACCAAACTTTGGGCCTGCCAGCCCAAGCTAACATCTCTTTAAGTAGCTCGATGTCAATGTTTGTCCAATCATCCCACTTTGAAATGCCTGGCGGCACTTTAAGACATTGACATCAATAACAGCATCAGATGTCATTGTTCATTGCAAGTAAGAGGAGTCAAAATTTGCTTGGTTACCATGAATTATTGAATCATTTCATTGATTTAATTTTAATTACTCAATTAGAAACACTGCTTACATGTGTGCCCTGCCTGTCATCAATACTTGTGCTCCAAACCAAGGATCAGTAATCTTCTTCATTTTCCACCCTGATTTAGGAGAGGTAAAGGTGGGGTTGTGATCTCACTGGACTAGTAGATCAGAGGTCCAGGCTAGTGTTTTGGGGATATGAGTTCAAACCACAGCATGGCAGCTGGTGAAATTTAAATTCAGTTCTGGAATTTGAAAGCTAATTTCAGTCATGCCAACTATGAAAATTATCATCAATTGGTGTACAAACCCATCTGGTTCGCTGTTGTTGCTGAGGGAAGGCCTATATGTGACTCCATACCCTCAACAATGACTGACTTTTAATTGAAATGGTCAAGGAAGCTACTCCGATCAAAGAGTAATTAGAAAATGCCTCTGTAGGAAGTTCAATCCTGTGAAAGAACAAAGGATGAAAACAAATGGACTGGAAACACAGTTTGCAGCCTGCATTTGTGTGTGCTGTGATCACATGCCAAAATCACTGCAGAATTTCTATATTTCCACCCTAATGTAACGTTTCCTCTCTGTTCTCAGGTGGTGCTCCAGATGTTAAACTCTTTACAGGGGGAAAATTCACCTCAGGAATTACCGGCTGCATCAGGAAGGTGGTCCTTGTAAATAAAAGACCCGACCAACATCAGGTTCAACCAGTCGACCTACGTGTTCATGCTGAGGGAGGGGTCAATGCTCGAGAGTGTCCATCATAGGCATTCAGACTCACTAAAAGCAAAGTAGAGACTTCTGGGAAAAGGTGCTTTGCTGCTATTAAATTGGATTGTTTTGTGTTCTTTAATGCAGTCCTCTTTAACCAAAAAAAAAATCATCACAATGTCAGCCAACTGTATTCCGTTGAATGAAGGGTTTTAGCAACTCAGCTTGATTTATTTTGTATCTACAAGAGCCATACAAGAACACCAGCATTTTCCTGAGGCAGAAGATCCTATGGACTTAGATTTTTCTAGCACTGAAGTTTGGGATGATAGTGAACAGGAACAGCTGGTAACCAGTCTTCAACCTTTGCCTCTGAATTCTAGCACGGTGTTTTAAGGCACTTGAACCTGGCTGGTATCTACTTGAAATGAACTAGGCCAGTTCAGTCATCACTCGTTTTATTAAAACAAAGGTTCACAAGCTGCATACCTAAAGTACTGAAATATCAGAGGATTGGCGACTGTAGAAGTTATATAATTGTAAAAAATATACAGAGATCTGAATTGGTACCAGTGTAGAAAAATGTCTAGGGTTTATAACAATTTTACTTCTGTCTATTGGAGTAGCAGGCATTTTCTGTGCACATACACTGTTAGCTTTCCAATTATTCAGCATGTGCTGAAGTCCAGAGAGATGATTAAACCTATTTCAGAATATATGCCCTATGCATTGGCATAAAATGCCACATCTTCAAATACAACAAATGTGCAGGCGAGGTTACACACTCCCAAAGGGGCCATTGAGTTTGTAAGATGCATCATTAAGGTTTGACCTCCTTGGGTTAGGTGGCCAGAAATCAGTAATGTCAAAGCACATGTAGGGAGAAAGTTGTTCCAAAGCTCACTTTGTTAGGAATGTAATGATTATAGTGCTGGACTAGCAATCCTAGGGATTGGGAGTTCAAAACTCAACAGGGAAAACTGAATTTGGGCTGATGAAAACTAAAACTATCCATACCTGTCACCAGTCCCACATCATTCATTCTTAATTCTGTCAGTGTAACAAGAGATGTACAATAAAAGCCAACCTTATTTGGAATACTCACAGCCCTGAGAATGAAATTTTGATAAATACAAAACTTAATCCTACTTTGCTTCATGTGCCTTTTACAAAAATGCTTCTATTCAAGATAGTTGTGTCTTGAAGTCAAGGAGTTCAGCAAATGCCAGATGTTTAAATCAATGGACCATTAGAGGGGCATGGTCTTCAGGAGAAATATTTCAATACCTCTTCAGTGTTTCTAAATCCTTGGTTTGCTACAATATCGTTCATTAACAAATGAGTTAGACATTATGAAAGGTTGGACATGAGGCTGTTCTGACCATGTATCTCCCAGATATGTAAAGGTCACTGATATTTTGGTGAAGACAATGCCCTTTTAACTTACAAACAAGACCTTGGTCAATGTCTGAACTATTTTTGTTTGTTGGCTCCTTTTATACAGCAGGTTAAACACTTTACAGAAATGAATCTGGTGAATCTCTTTGTTTCTGTATCGTGTTGGCCCACTGGTGTGAATCCACCTGAAGATGCTGAAATTGTCTTAAGTTCCCAATGTGCCGTCCCTATCAGTTGCTGAAAGGATTTGAGTGTTTTTTAAACAGAGTAAAGGTCAAGGAAGTTGATTTCAATTTGGGAATCAACATTTGCGTCCCATCTTCTGACTAAAGTCCTCCCCTCAAACTGTTGATAATGCAGCAACTGGCATGGTGCATTACTGAAATACCAAGGGAGCACGTAAACATTACAAAAAGAAGTGAGCACAAGGATTAGACAAAGAGTTGCAAATACATCGACCTCTGGTACCAACGACATATCCTCACTCCATTCGTGGGGCTTTAAATTCAGGTTCCACCAATCATACTTAATGCTTAATGAAGGATTGACATTTCACTTTGAGATTGAAACATTCTTTGCAGTCCCAGACCTTTGTGTATTATTCAGAATTGATGTATTCATTGAGAGAGCCATCTTGTGAACCTTTTATGAAAAAATGTTTGCTGGACGGATATCCAACAAAAATTCTTAAACAGAAGACAAACCAGAGCACCCTTGCATAGTTGATGTTGATTAGAACTACTGACAACTCTGAGTGTAGCCAGGGCAATCACTTGTGAGTCAATGTTAGTGCTCTTAATATTTAACTATGCATTTTGATGGTAAGCACATCCTTGAATGTTATTGTAATATTTGATCATTTTCCATGCTTCTTTTTTATCCAAAGACCTTTTCTTCTGTAAACTGCAGTATTAACAAAACCTGATTCCTCAATTAATGAGTGAGCATTTTCGCTCCCTACCAAGGGTATGTTCTGATTAAATTGAGCAGGTTTGAGACATGCCATAGATTTATCGTATGTATCTATAAAGCCATAAGAAAAACACAATTTTACTCTTACTTTGTTCAATGGAATAACTTATAATGGCTTCATTTTTCTACTCACCATTCTTTAGGAATTAATGGTCATGGCTACACATTAGAATGTTATTGTAATTCATTCATATTCTTGTTTAAGAAACCATATGAGGAATACCACCGGTCTCTACACCATCTTCAATTCGGCACTAGTGCTGTGGACTACAAGAATAATTAGGAAACTAAGTTCCCCTTTGCCATTTCTTTGAAATGCATCCTGGTGGTGATCAAATTCAGTTTTCATTCTGCAAGCTGTCTAGGAACAAGTTCTTTATTTCTCAAGTCAAGGTAGTGGGGTGAACAGGACTGGAGAAGGATGGGGCCAGAAGGAAAATAATCAATAGATACCTGGATTAAAGTCCTGCTTCATGAAGTGAATACAAGTTTCCCTTTGGCATTTACAGGTCTGCACATTGTACTGGCTGGTTCCAGAGTGAAAGCAGCAACTTAATACGCAACTGCTAATTATTGTAATTTCCTAATGTTACCCCTGTAGGAAGAGGCCAGTGCCTCCACTAGTCCCCACACATTGTCTCATGGGTGTTTAGAATGTGCCCTCTCAGCACTTTTATGCATTTTGTGTTAACTGTGTTTTACTAATTTGACTTCCTGATGCCAGTGTGGTCAAAAAAACCCAGAATGAAGCAGGCAGAGAAACAGTACAGACTGTGGTGAGCGTCCTAATGATGTATTCCTGTTGGTGTTACAAAGTTATCCACGTGTTGAGATATATTAACACTTCTCACTCAATTCCTGTGCCATTTCCAGACCGGATCCCTATTGTGGGCGATACAATGGCTTTGTACTTTGCAGTTCATTTCTGTTTAAGTTGCAAATGGGATTTTTGCAACTGATGAAACGAGCAGTAAGTATTGAAAGCTGTGCTACAATGAAAAGAAAATGTGGATTCAGCAGTTAGAGCCAAGACTCCAAAATAGATTGTCCCAGTCCATCAACAAAAACATTCACTTATATAACTATTCAGATCTAACTATCCTACTAGCTGGGACATGCATTTTCCGTGTGCTGTATTAACCCACTAAAGATATCTGAAGGATAAATAGTGTTTTTATGTTTAAGGAAGTTTTTTTTCTGTTATTAACTTTTTGACACTGAGTGAAGGCCTTGCAATGTAGATTGTTATGTTAAAAATAAAGCAGCAGTCCATTTGGAGGTTATTCAGTGACTTGTAAGGATATGACTGAACTATTTTTGAGAAAAGTAATTGGAAGCTGATTTTTTTAAAAAATATATATATATACTTTTAATTTTGGTGGAAAAAACCCCCATACTGTGATTTCTTTTCGAAATTTTAGTCTGTCTTAATGATTGTATAACATCAGAGATATTGGAAGCCCACTATTGTCCAATTGCCAAAATGGTTCATCTCTCATGGGTCACCACGAATAAGGACTAATTGCACAATGCAGCTGATGGCACTGATTCAGAAACTTGGATTTGAATCTCTTTAATTTTTTTAAGTTCTCACTCCCTGGCCACACAAGTTCTGAATCCGGTCTGGGGGTTGGGGGGGTCATTCTTCTTGTAAACATCTGTTTCCAGAGAGCACAAGGCCTGATTTGACGTTCAATGTTCTGTCTCTGCTGGATGGAAAGTGAAAGTTGCCGTTGTCTGAGAGGACCACTCCCTCATTACAGAGAGAGAGGATTGCTGGTGGTCTTAACCTGATGGTTCCACCATGACCGGATCAAACTGTCTAAATAGAGTGAGCTTACAGAATCAGAAATTGTCACCATCTGCCAAACTTACTGCCAACATGTGGTCCCCCAGTTATTTACACATACCCTTCTCTATTGGGAGTGCCTCAGGAATGCGCATGATGCTAAAGTGGGGTAGCTCAGAAATTAGCATTCACCGAAAAAATGGCTTCATCTATTAACACAGCGAATCCCAAGTTTACCTAATGATCAATTTGGACAGGGAAACAATAACATCACATTCTTTTAGAATGGGCTTTCATGAGAATAATAGTTTTTTAAAACTTGATATTGGTGCCTCATGATTTGCCTCTTAGATTTGCTTCTACCCAGGTCAATTTTTAGTGTTGCAAGAAAAAGACACATATTGTTGAAGCTTCTCATCTTGCTAAATCAGGACAATTCACAAGAATACAATTCAAGGCGAAAACCAACATGTATACTGCATGAGAGGAAAGTGTTGATTAATTGGCAAGTGGACTTTAATTGATGCTTTCTCCAAGGCAATTTTTAAAAAATCATTCACAGGATAAGTGTATTGTTCACTAGGCCAGCATTTATTGCCCCATCCCTAATTGACTAGAGGACAGTTGAGAGTCAACCACTTTGCTGTGGGTCTGGAGTCATTTGTAGGCCAGACCAAATAAGGATGGCAGTTTCCTTCCCTAAAAGACATTGAACCAGATGAAAAATTCATCTTTTTCCAACAATCAACATGGTTTCATGGTTACTTAATTCCTTTTTTATTCGATTCAAATTCCACTATCTGCCATGGTCACATTCGAACCTGGGTCCCCAGAACATTACCTGGGTTGTTGGATTAACAGTCCGGTGATAATATCACTCGGCCATCATCTCCCATTGGCTGTCTCTGCCAATTAGAGTCTGTTTTCCAACAATCAGCACTCTCCTTTCAGGCAGTATAAATGTTTTTTCCCCTTCAGTTGGTTTTCTTGCAAATTGTTCTGATGAGTGCAAGATGAAAGGCTTCAACAATTTGTTTTTCAGCAATACTCAGGTTTATATTTTTTCCCAACCACCTTCAAGAAGAGTTCCTTTTCTATTCATTTGTCGTTTTTAAGGACATGAATTTGGTTTTAATGATGTTCCTGCTGCGCTGTTACCTACAGCTCATTCCAAAATGATCAGCCAATCTCAGTCTTTATCTGATAATTTCCTGAGTGGCCTCCATTTATCTTTGGACCATCACATTCAAAACTCCTACCTCAGTCACTGTGACAACAGAACACAAGGATCTGTACATGGTGCTAGTGAGTACAACTGGTGCCACTTTGGCAGCTTTCAGGCATTTGGTCTGAGGTGGCTCAATGTCTCAAATAATTGTTGATTTAAGCAGGTTCAGACACCACAGTGTGAAGGGGCTATATACAAGCTAAAGACTCTGGAAAGGATCTTACTGCAAGTGAAGTTGCTTTGCTTTGGAGATATGACTGAAAAAAAAAACAGGAAATGGTGATAAGCTATTTCTTGATTTAATACAGCATGGCATTTTGCTAATACATACAGAAGAATGTAACAGCCATTTAGCATTACACATTTGTACACAGCTGTCACGGGTTGGGGGTGGGGGGGTGGTGTGGGAGAAGTAACAGTCTGAGTGGCATGGCCTGTTGTGAGGAAATGTAACTGAAACTAGATTCCAGTGGACACTATTGTTCTTCACCAAATCAGAACTGTTTTAAGACTTCTGTAAAAAAAAATAGTCCTGGCAACTATATATCAAAAATGCCACTTGTTTGGTGCTTAAGCAGGTTCCTTGGGATTTGCAAGTGAACCTACTGTTGCTGTCTGTGTTCAATGCATTTTATTTAAACAATAAAAGCTTTTTAATTCACTGGAGCTGGTGTTCTGTCATATCCATTGACATCTTTAGTCCAGAGTCATAGAGTCTTGCAGCTTGGAAACAGACCCTTTGGTCCAACTAGTCTGCGCCAACCATGTTCCCAAAATAAACTAATCTCACTTGCCTGCGATTAGCCCGTATCCCTCCAAACCTATCTTATTCATGTACTTATCCAAATGTCTTTTAAACATTGTAACTGTACCTGCATCCACCTCTTCCTCTGGCAGTTCAGAGAATGTTATCTGAATGATTGAAACATGGACAGTTTTGAGGGGTCTTGACAGGGTCAAGGTGGAGAGGATGTTACCTCTTCTGGGACAATCTAGAACTAGGCATCGCCATATAAAAATAAGGGGTCACCCATTGATGATGGCAAATAGTTTTTTTCAGAGGGTTGAGAGTCTATCGAGCACTGTTCCTGTAAAGGTGGTGAAAGCATAGAGTCCAGAATATTTTTAAGGCAGGGATTGGTAGATTCTTGGTAAACAAGGGGTTGAAAGTTTCGCAGGGTTGGATGGGCATGTGGTTTTGATGTTACAATCAAATCAGACAGGTTGGAAGAGATAGTAGGAACTGCAGATGCTGGAGAATCTGAGATAACAAGGTGTAGAGCTGGATGAACACAGCAGGCCAAGCAGCATCAGAGGAGCAGGAAGGCTGACGTTTTGGGGACTAGACCCTTCTTCAGAAATGGGGAAGGGGAGGGTGGTTCTGAAATAAATAGGGAGAGGGTGGGAGGCAGAGAGAAGATGAATAGAGGAGAAGATAGGTGGAGAGGAGACAGACAGGTCAAAGAGGTGGCGATGGAGCCAGTAAAGGTGAGTGTAGGTGGGGAGTTAGGGAGGAGATAGGTCAGTCCAGGGAGGACGGACAGGTCAAGGGGGCGGGATGAGGTTAGTAGGTAGGAGATGG